GTAAAACTCAATAGCTGGAGGGCTGCAGTCCTGCAGTTTAGTTCCAACCCTGCTTTAACACTCATATCTGTAGGTATCAAACAAGCTTAAAGCACTCAATTAGTTTGATCAGGAGTGTTTAATTAGGGTTGGAACTAAACTGTGCAGAGCTGCGGCCCTCCAGAAACTGAGTTTGACACCTGTGTTGTAGGCTCTAGTGGGTTGAGGGAACCCTGAGACAGAATCAAGGAAGGTTCTGCATTAATAATGCAGCAATGCTCTACTTCCCTAGTTTAAATGCACCACTGGGAGTGGAAGATCCCAAGAACGCAACACTTACAGACGAATGGCTTACCGAGTATGACTATGGCACAAGAGCATCTTGAGGCAAACTCACGTTTTCTTTTTTTTCCCTTTTTGGCACATCCTGTGTGTGTGCGTGGGTCTGAAAGAGGAAAAAGTGCCCCCACAGCTGTTTTGTGTCTGGGTCTGTCAGAATGGGTGACTGGTCTTTGTGCAGTCATCATATATTTGAGAGGCTGATTTGCATCTAGAGTCGTGTCAGACGGAGAGTTGTGACGGCTCCACTGTGAGCTGTCAGCCCAAGGAAAAGTCTTCTAGCATGCTCTGTCTTCAGCTCTGACCTTGAACTCCACACTCTCCAGTGGGCCGTTCAATCCGTCTCTCTCAAGAGCCACATTTCCTTTCCCATGTCTCAGTGGGAGAGAGCAGGGTTGTAACCTCAATAATGGGATTTTTAATGAAGTCGTGGATTGTTTTAATGTATTTGTTAAGTATGTTGTATTCAGCAGTGGAAAAGCATTCACTAAGAATGACTTTTAGAAAAAAGAAATGCAGACCCCCATTGGTGAATTCATGGTCTGTTTCCACTGAGTGGTATAGTTCGGTATGCTTTTATGGCTGTTTCCACTGTCAAAGGGTACCTAAAAGCATCCGTACTGTACCACTTTTTGGATACTATTTTCAAAGGCTACCTACTGTAGCACAACAAAAGGGTACCAAAAGGCAGAGCAAGGCGCGCAGCTGAATGTTATTGGTTTACAGAGATATGTCACTGGTCACAGGAGCCAGGAGTATGAAAACAAAGGAAGCGCCAATTTTAAATACACAGCCGAGACATTACACTTTAATTATATATACATATAATAAATAATTAGTCATTTGGAGCCTAACAAACCTTGTCGTCATCTTGATGAACAGCCACAAAGCCAAGAAGAGCAGAATCAACCCTGTGCCCCGTAGTTTTTACAAGGCTGTCTAAAGCGTAAGTGGTTTGACTTTCCTGCATGCGCTCGCCGCATGTCTATATTTGGAATAACGAACTTGAGCTGATGATAATAACAGGCGCTTGATTGTTGAAGTGCTTCTGACATCCAATCCTTTCATAAACTGTCAAGAGTGAGAGTGATGCATGAAAAAGCAAAGGAGAAGCCGGAAAAACAATGGAGCAAATGATTGTTTTAGCAACCTAAAACATAAACAAACTGCCACTATTATCATCACCTATTGTACTATTATGAACTCAGAATGATGGAATAACATACTAACAAGAGGTTACATGTGCTGGTAAAGATTAAAGATACAGATGAGAGGTTTGCACTGATTGTAGGCTATATGTTGCGTGTTGTTTTTGAACCCAAATAAGGACTAAATATATGCTGTGTGTAGTTTTTCTGTTATTGGTTACATATCGGAGATTGTAAGGCTCTGTATGTGTTCATATATATTGCATTTATTTATTTTATATAATCGCAGATGTTACAGTAGGCTATCATTGATCAGCAGTTATAATCAAATCATGTTCATAGAAAGGTTAGTAATGAACATATATACACAAGTATGTATGCATATAAAGCATATGTTTTGTGAGAATTAGCATTGGCACCCTTTTGGCAATAGGAGCGCAAGCCTAATAAATGTGGCCCATACCGTGCTGTACCACTCAGTGGAAGCGGGCCTTTAGAAATGTGCTTCTAAGATGCCATTTCAAGTTTCATTGTTTTAAAGCATGAAAGACAGCCATCAAATCAAGGCCTAGTCTGTATTTTTACACAGCCTCATGATTAATCATGTTATTCAATCAGGCTATTCTGGGGTTATTTTATTTAAAAAAAAAAAAAGATATTGTTTTACACATTTGTTCTTTTGCTGACATTGAGGTTTTGTAGAACAAGAGGATTCAACAAATTCTTAAAACAACAGGCGCTAGATTCCAAAGCTTCCTGTTGACTTTGCCAAAGCAGCCTTGCACACACATTCTGAAATCTCTCCTCCCAAGCTGGCCTCAACTGGGCTTTAATTCAATTATGAAACACTTTTATAAAAGAGACGTGTGTTCAATAGCTTAATTTATGAGTCTGCACACTGCAACAGTCCAAAGTGGTGATATGACCCTCAGTTACTTTGTGAGGTGCCCCAAGTCTCAGTATTGGGTCCGTTCTCATTAATAATGTTGCTATTTCAGTGGGTGTTATTAGTATTGACCGGCCTTGCACAGAGCAGGCAGCCAGTTATTGGCTGGGATTTGGAACTGCCGTGTGTGCTGATGGGGCCCAGAGTTTAATCGCTGTGGAAACATGAGAGTTATTAAAACGGGAAGCCTTGGCACTGCAGAGGGATCTCGGGTGTCTCTCAGGCTCACTAATGATTATAAGCCTGCAGCTTTCTCACCCAGTAGTGAGAAAGGAACAATGAATGAACAAAAAGAGATTTGAGGATCCTGAAGTATCAATTTATTCTATTAGTGTATATGAGGAAGGGTAGAAAAACTTAACAAAAGTCAAAAAGTCACACTCTGATCTGATCAAAGTGCCTTCTTACTATTACAGGGAAGGTTTTGAAGTGCACAGCACCATATCTGGTTTATAATGGGCTGATTAATAAATGCACACTGCCACCATGTGGTCAGTAAGGCCACAGCATGTTCAGGGTGAGGGCATTTGAGAACAGTGTTGGCAGGATTTCTGTCTTTTGGCCAGAGGCAGCACCCGGTAATACCCTGGGAAGTGCCATATGGGTCACCAGGAATGAATTTCTCAGATTTTGTATGTGATTTCAGGTTATTTTCAATATAACCAGGTCTTAGGCACTTTAGAGGAAATCCGTCTCTTTGGCACATTTAGTCACATGGGTGTTAGGAGGTAATGTAGGGTGAAGTGCAGCTGGAGCTTGTTGAATTGGTAACCGAGAGCTAAAATCTTACTGTCATCAGTTTGGTTGTGATTAATCTGTTGAAAACCACCTGCTGCTAGCTTGTTGGCAGCGCTTGGTCTTCCTCCCACTCCACAAATCCTTTGCTTGGTTCAAATGAAACTTGATTTTCCCAGTGGACTTGTGTCCCTGATGCATTCTTGAAGTGTTCTGGTAAAGATGCTTTTGTGTGTTTTTCATGAAATGTCCCTATAGTGTGTGAGCATTGTAAAGTCTTCTCTTGAGGTGGTTTCATCACCATCTGTCTGCATTCACTTCAGAATAGCCTGTCTTGAAACAATTTTGAGCCATACCTGTTTTTTTGTTTTCTCAATTATTTCTCAATTATTATGAACTCTTTCACAACTGTTTTAGATCTATGGCATAAGACCAGTCATACCATGTCTTGCTAGCATATGTTATAATATTTACGTATTTAAATACTACTAGTGTACCAAATATTTTGTGCATTTCTAATAAGTCCTCGTTCTTCATACATTAAGTTCCCTTGATCAAATCCAGACCAGGAATGTCCCTAGTTCCTTTTTTTCCATTTTGCATCCAGAATCATGTTTCAAGTTCCATCAATCAAAGGAAACTCTAAACATACAGGATGTGAAGTGGTGGGAAAGGATTAAGACATTGGTGCCCCATGGCAAGACTCTAGAGAAAAGGCATTTAATGAGTCATGGTTTACACCTGCTACAGCCCGTCTTTCAAAATGGTATTAATTGTAGGATACGCCAGTTGTACACCACTACACTGATTGCATTGTGTTGCTTATGGGTTCAATTTCCTAGGGATTCAACCTTTGTGGGTTGTTTCACAAGGGTACTTTCACACTAGCACTTTTGGTCAGCACCCGGGTTCGTCTGATGTCAAAGTACGGTACTTTTATTTAGAGCAGAGGAGTCCAAACTCGATCCTGGAGGGCCGGTGTCCTGGACAGTTTAGCTCCAACCCTAATCAAACGCACCTGAACCAGCTAATCAAGCTCTTACTAGGTATAATTGAAACTTCCTGGCAGGTGTGTTGAAGCAAGTTGGAGCTAAACTCAGCAGGACACCGACCCTTGTGGACCGAGTTTGGACACCTCTGATCTAGTGCGAAACAGTGTCTTCTGAACTCAAATGTGCACCTGTGAACCGTACCCGAGTCCACCTAAAATCGGTGGTATGGTTCTTGCGAACTCTAGTATGGTTCACTTCTGATGTGAATGCAATCATAAAAATTAACGGAAGTGAACCGCTAACGGTACAAAAATGTTTAGTTTTTATTACATTCATTCATGTGTGTGTGTGTGTGTCTGTGTATCACCTACCTTGGTGACAAGCGGGACTGATCCAGTGCAAACAGTGATAATGTCTGCTTGTCTCCACCAAAAATGACTTCTGCAGACATTGCGTGATGTTCTGAACATTTTTAATATTTTTTTGTGGCAGATAGATGCAAGTGGCTCTCTGTATTTTGGTTTTGAAAACAAAACCACAAGTTTCAGTGAAAGCAGAATGACCATGATATGCGTAGGTCTCCATTTTGGTGCTTTACTTTTGTGGCCGTCACCTAGCAACAGCTGTACACAAAACAGAAGCTTGATGACGCAAGTGGTTCATAAGGAAAAAAGACAATGTTAACATAAACCCCTTCCGAGGGGGGACTATCAAACAGGCCTTCGAACCAAGAGTGAAAGCATGCTAAAACACTGAAAATCAGTTTGGATAGAAGCATCCGCCAGAGCTTAAATGTTAAATCTTGTCAATTATTAGTCAGTGTTGTGACTAATGACGTTTCTCTATCTTGTTTTCCCACAGAAAGTTCTACTACATCACTCTACTGAGGGACCCTGTTTCCCGCTACCTTAGTGAATGGAGGCACGTCCAGCGAGGGGCGACATGGAAGACGTCTTTGCACATGTGTGACGGACGGACACCCACACCTGAAGAGTTGCCGCCCTGCTACGAGGGCACAGACTGGTCAGGGTGCACCTTGCAGCAATTCATGGACTGCCCCTACAACCTAGCCAATAACCGCCAAGTGCGTATGCTTGCAGACCTTAGTCTGGTGGGCTGCTACAACCTTTCTACAGTCCCTGAGAAGAGGCGTTCACAATTGCTGCTTGAATCAGCCAAGAAGAACCTACGGGACATGGCTTTCTATGGCCTGACGGAGTTCCAGCGGAAGACGCAATACCTATTCGAGCGCACCTTCCACCTCAAGTTCATCCGACCCTTCATGCAATACAACAGCACCCGGGCGGCTGGCGTGGATCTTGATAATGATACGATACAACGCATCGAGGAGCTCAACGATCTGGACATGAAGCTGTACGATTATGCCAAAGACCTGTTTCAGCAGCGGTACCAGTACAAGCACATGCTGGACCGCCGGGAGCAGAGACTACTAAGGGGACACGCATCTTTCCATAGTCCGTTCCGAGAGGACGGAGCTGGGGGAGAGGGCACGGCACGCCTGCCAACCGAGGATTACATGAACCACATCATCAACGGATGGTAACCACCTACCCCTCTCCAGAGAGACCAAATACTGACACAGTAACGAGGAGAGGGGAATACAAGGACCCAAGTGGAATACCCTTTCCCAGATGAGAGAGATCACCATCCCATCCTTCAGTCAGGATTACGGGACCAGTCTGTGCATTTCGCTTAGTGCAGGATCTCCTTGGCCTTTTTTAAACAAAAGTTCTGGTGGAAATTAAGTTATTATAGTTTTTTTGTTGTCGTTTTGTTTCACAAATAGAGTGACTGGAATTAACGAACCTGAATATCAATGGACTCTTCATGAAAATAAAAGATTGTTTTTATAAATATAAATATATATAAAAATATGTAGATTGCCTTTTTTACATCCTGGTGTGAAACCGATTGAGCCAGTCGCAAGTGGTTGATGATTACTAACAGGTGTTGTATGATTTTATATATATATATCTTAATATATAACACAGAAGAATCCCTTTTTCCATGAGTGTTTTATCTTTTGTCTTTGAATGTCAAACAGTTTTCCGGTTTCCATAAGCCCAGATGCCATTAGCCCATTCCTGAAAGTCAGATGTAATTTCTTATCCCCCCCCCCTAAAAAATGAATGTCATCATGCAGTTTTTATTTTAGCATGTGCTAATTTATACAGTATGCACCGTAAGTGTTGTTTTTACACATTTGCTGTGATCTTTTTACCCATAGTGCAGTGCAGTATGCCCACATTTTGCATTGTAAATCTCGTACCTTAAATGAACAAAGCATTCACATAATTTGCCCCTGTTAACTGTCGAGTTGAGTTGAGCGCACATGTAGAATGTGTTAATTGAACTTGCACTGAACATGTCAGGGCTTGACATCCCTCACAGGTCTACCGAGACTTCTTAACTTCCATCTTCCCTCCAGCTAAAACTCAGAAATAAACTGCTATTGAAGCCATGTTTAGATAAATGTCAAAAATGCTTATGGGGAAAGAGCGAAGAAATGGATTACATGTTCCATCTGTCTCTGTCAGTCAAGATTTGGAGAGTTGAAATCAGTGAGGAAAGTATGATGATTGTTATATGTGTGTATACGTTAATGGTTGTCACGATACTGGAATTCGGGACCAATCGGTACTGAAATTTTAAAGCGTCCATTTTCTGCGAACATTTGAGCACTGCTTATTCGTAAATAGCGCTGATTTGCCATTGTGTTCACATGCTCAGCTGAAATGACTGATTGGTCGTGAAGGTCATCAGTTCACCGAACTCACAGCTGTTTATTGAGTGTAACCAAAGATACAGAAAAACTGGAGCGTTTCACAGTGACGTCGATCAGCTGGTTTGTCTATAAGCTGAAATACGATCCACTGTTGAATCGCGGCTTTAAAACGCTCCAGTGTATCTGTACTGATCTGGCGTATGCAAAGTTTTTGTGCGTACGCAGCGTTAATACATGAAGCCCATGGTTCCAGTTGGGGTTGATTGTCCTGTCTTTAGGTGTGTGATCAATGTTCTTTGTTTATGTTTATTCAGATGGCAAAGTTAGTATCGCCAGCAGTACTTTTTCATGGCCATTTGGGAATGTGCTCAAATGTTCCTAAGACATGGATGTTTTTAAAACTTCAGAATCGATTGGTAGCGAACTCTGTTTTGTGACAACCCTGTGTGAGCCGTCTTCAGTTTGCTTTCCAACAATGTCCATTACTGTGAGTATATTGGTTTTTCATGACCCCTGAATCTTTAAAAGTACCAATAAAAATGCATTTTCCATTTTTAAGACATGGTCGAGTGCTTTTAATAATTCAGTCCCTTTTTTTCTTTCAGAAATCATTCTGTTTTATGAAAATTGGTGCATTTTGGAGATTTTTATGATGAATAGAAAGGTTGAAGCATTTATTTGAAAGAGAAATATTTTGTCGGATCATAAATTGCATTTCTGGTCAAGTATGCAGTATTGTAATATCATGCGTGCTTGTTGAATTGAAGTATTCATCTTAGGAAACCCATTGAATCTATGTAAAAGTGTTTAAATATCACAGGTTTCCACCTTTGTTTTGGTTAATCAGCAGTGTTGTCTTTCTCTCTGAAGTGTTAATTATTTTTAGAGGGTGTGTGATTGCGTATGAAACAGCTTCCATGTTATGACTTGCACATTTCCTATGAAGGACGGTTTTGTGTTAATTTTACACGTACTCATCAGATTTTAGGAACAAACAGTAATAAGAGAGTTTCAAACAAAAGTTATTTTTAAAAAGTCCATATTTATTATCACAAATCAGTTAGGTAAATATTACTGTTTTAAATTGCTGTATAATTATTACATATCTGTCCGGTTTGTAGATGTTTTAATGAGACACCTGTGATTAAAATGGAATCGTTATAGTCTCTCAGATAGTTATTCGTCTCTTGTTAGCCTGTTTTGCTGAGGCCAACTTGGAACAAACCATTTATAAGCCTGGAAAATGTCTAAAAGAATGCATATCGTGCAGACACAATATTTTATAATATTAGGTAAGCTAAGTGCATTTATACTTTAAGTTTAAAATTTCTGCATAAAACATTTCCGCTGTGGCCACCACTATAAAGGACAGAAAAATAAGCAGAAGGAAAATGTTTAGTGAATGATTTCATTGACCTGATGTGTTGCATATCAGTGTGGTAAGTATACAAGTTTAATAACTAAATGGATTACAGTTTGGTTCAGTTGTAGCTTTCGGAACACTAGATTATTAAAAAATATGGCATAAAAACAATCATAAGATGTGGGCTTTTTCTTAAGAATGAAAATGAAACCATTGCAAAGCTCCCTTTCACTCTTTACCCCCATGTCACGTTTTTGTTCTCCAGAGTATGGAGCTGAAATCCTGAGAGAGCTTCATCATTCGACTGTGCACTGAGCTGATGATGACACTGCTCTGCTGTAACCACAGAGACAGACACTTACCTCGTCTGCTGTTTTTATTCTTATTTAGGATTGTGTTGAACCAGCATGGACACATTGTTGCTCAACTGTTGAGTTCAGATTCATACTTTTTTTGTGGCCATTACAAATATAGATGGAGGAGTCAAACAGGTAAATAATATTATGGATATGCAAAATGTATAATTTACAGTAATTTTAAAATGCTGTTTTAACAATGAGCACATTGATTGTAATAATCTCATACTTGCCTCTAAAGCACCCTGTTGGAAAAAAAAAAAACATCTTAAACCAGCCTGAGCTGGTTGACTGGTTTCAGACATTACCAGCCTGGTTTTGGCTGGTCAGACCAGAAGAAGACCAAAACCCCTCTAAAACCAGGTTGGTTTTAGACCAGCTTAAACCATTTTCCAGCTTGACCAGCTAAGACCAGGCTGGAGATGTCTGAAACCAGCCTGGAAATGGGCAAACTCCCTCTAAAACCAGGCTGGTCGACCAGCTAAAACCTAGTTTAGGGTTCTTTTTTTAGCAGGTCATTCACTGTGATTAAAATGAAGTTAAAATTACTGTAAAATTCAAAAGGCGACAGCATAAAATATCTCTTAGGATTTTGTTTTTTTTAAAATACTGCTTTATTTTAACCTTAATTTATGTAAAAGCTAAGCTACAAATGTAATGTAAAAAATCCATAGCCCATGTTCACAGTGATTTCCCATAGGAAATTATCAAATAAATAAATGTCTGTTGAAGCATTTTAAGCTATAATGGAAATCATCACATTAGAGACTTCATTTGACGCAAAGATGTTTGCATTGAAAATGGCACACACACACACACACACACATACATACATACATATATACAGTTGAAGTCAGAATTATTAGCCCCCCTTTTGAATTATTTATTATTATTTTTTTTATATATATATATATTTTTTTTTTTCAAAATTATATTTAACAGAGCAAGGAAATCTTCACAGTATGTCTGATAATATTTTTTTCTTCTGGAGAAAGTCTTATTTGTTTTAGTTTGGCTAAAATAAAAACAGTTTTAAATTTTTCAAAAGCCATTTAAAGGTCAAAATTATTAGCCCCTTTAAGCTTTATATATATTGTTTTATAGTCTACAGAACAAACCATCGTTATACAATAACTTGCCTAATTACCCAAGTAAATTATTAGTTATTAAAACTTTTATGTTTAGAAATGTGTTGACAAAAATATTCTCTGTTAAACAGAAATTGGGGGAAAATAATTCATGGAGTTTAATAATTCTGAAAATCTAAATAATTCAAAAAATTGTTTTATTTATTGAGGAATTTGTAGATTTATATATACTTTTTAAAGTATTTATTTATTGTTTTATTCATGCAGAAAGTTGTGTATATATTTATTCTTTTGTTTGCGTATTTATTTATTTATTGTTTTATTTATGCAGGAATTTGTAGATTTATATGTACATTTATTTATTTGCATATTTGTTTATTTATAGATTTTGCAGGTTTCACTCTGATCTGTATTTTAAATAATAATGTTAATAATTAAAATAATAAAAGATAGGGCGATACAGTGGCGCAGTAGGTAGTGCTGTCGCCTCACAACAGCAAGAAGGTCGCTGGTTCGATCCTCTGTTTCTGTGTGTAGTTTGCATGTTCTCCCTGCGTTCGCGTGGATTTCCTCCAGGTGCTCTGGTTTCCCCCACAGTCTAAAGACATGTGGTACAGGTGAATTGGGTAAGCTAAATTGTCTGTTGTGTATGAGTGTGTGTGTGTGTGTGAATGTGGGTGTGGAAGTTTCCCAGAGATGGGTTGCGGCTGGAAGGGCATCCGTTGCGTAAAAACTTGCTGGATAAGTTGGCGGTTCATTCCGCTGTGGGAACCCCAGATTAATAAAGAGACTAAGCCGACAAGAAAATGAATGAATGAATGAATAATAAAAGATATCCATTTAACCACCCCTATACTAGTTTATACCATTGTGAATAAATAATCGCGCCAATCCATGTATACGAGAAAAAAAAGTAGGCCAAGGCTAAAGCACGCAAAGGGCAGGAAAATGAACAAAGGGGAAATAAAAAAAGATAATTTTATTTTTTCAGTACTCTTCATGGACACTAGA